AAAGAGATTGAATCATATACAGATTGCAAAAGAAAGAAGGGCCAGCCTGTAGTTGCCTTTTCCATGGGAAGTGGGAAAGGTGGCAGATGGTATTCTATGTGTAAAAAGCTAGAATATAGATATACAAATATGAAAGTTTTTTTTTTTTCTTTAAAAACTCATTATATTCTTTATAAGATAGTATTATATATATATATATATATATATATATATATATATATATATATATATATATATATATAGAGGTTGGACGACAAGAAAAATCTGCAGTAATTATCTAAGGCGACTAAGGGTGTATAATTATATATGATGTAAATTTTGATCCATATAGTCCTAATAATATGTAACTTAAATCGATCATGTGTAACTACTAACTAGTTTATAAAGTATTAGTAAGAATTAAATTTGTAACCTCTTGCTATAAAAATTATTACCCTACTCGAACATTTTTTGTGTTAGAACTTTAGTCATGGAGTTCCATACTTCCATATATATAATGCGTATACTGATCTCTACCCAAAAAAAAATGCGTATATTGATTTCATTTCAACTTTAACCCATATTGAAAGAGGCGTTTGGGATAAAAGAAGGGCAAAGACGTTGTGTGATGAGGCCGGGTGGACATACTCAAGGCTAGAGTGTGTAGAGCTAATGGAGTGTGGCACAAGCGAAGTACCGAAAGGGCATCTCAACATCATTGCACCATTACATCACCCTCCCTTGCTCCCGTGGACTTTTCCTGCATATTCAATGTATCAATAGGGTTATTGTATAACATTTAAATTATACTAACTTTAATTTACAAGAAAACTCGTTATGGTCCAAATCTATTTTCTTGAAGAAGGTAAACTAGTATGAATTGTTTACCGTTGACCAGTTTAAATCAAGAAAACCAATAAAACACTTCCATGGATCGGATAATCGAATTTGAAACTTAGCTTGTAATTACCAAGTCAACCGTTGGGGCCAACTATACTAACTTGATACCTATGAAGTGTGGCGGAATTGAACCATAAGAATGAGGGATACACTATTTTTTTGAAAACTACAAAGTTTCAAGTTTAACCTCTATGGGATCGAGTTGTCTATTGACACTATTGTTTGAGTCGATCATATATAAGCAATTTAGGTTGATTTTTTACCTCATTATGATCCTTTGGTGGTTATGATTATAAAGTGAATTTCACCTAAAATATACCTTCAAATAGTAATTGCGAACTTTTCCGTAAATAAAAAATTAGTTTTGATATATGGTGTTGGACAAAACTTAATAGTTTAAAAGAAAAAAAAAAAATCACTTGCCCCCCTTAATTGGATCGGGCCGGTGCAAATAGTGATTCATTTAAGTATATATGGTACGGGTTTAAAAGTGTCTCATATAGTTAGGGTCTGTTTAGGCCACCTCATGGTATGGAAAAAAAGGGAAAAAATTATACTCCATCTGGCCATCTTTTAAATAATTAGCTTATGGGAGAAGACGAAATAATTGGCTTTAATTGAATGATGTTAATTCTTTAATTTCATAAAAATGTTCTCTTAAAAAATACTCTCTCCGTCTTTGTTTGTTTAATTTCGGTTAACGATGGTTGACTAAAATTATTTTTAAATCAAAATTTTGTAATGTTTAGTATTCCGTATTAGTATATCAAATTACATTAAAAATATTATTAAACACAAAAAATTAAATTTAAAAATAATTAGGAAAATAAAAAATAATTAATTTGACCAATAAATTAAATAGTAAACAAGATAGGTAAAAAAAAAATTATATTCAATAATTATCTATGAATTAGTCCAGTCCACTATAATTTTTATATAAAAAAAAAAACTTATTAATGCAAAAAAAAAAAAGTCATGTCAAGACATAAATATTAAAAGATAAAATTTAAAATAAGGATCTAAGTTGTAACACGGCTCTTCACTAAATAAAACAAAATTAAATACAACAAAAGCTTGTTTGGATTCTTTAGGGGTCGTTATATTGTGCACCGCGGTCAAAACAGCGTAATTTCTTTAAGTAAAGAAACGGCGCGCCGTTAGTATTAACGGAGCGCGTATTTTTTTGTATGTTAATTACTAACTAACATTACAGTATATCTAAACCGACATTGCCTCACGTATTATTTTTATATTATCAAATGAAACTGCAGTTATATCAAAATGATACTGTAGTTGTGGTGAAATAAAACTGCAGTTTACATATTTGAGTGTATATTGTACAATGAAGCTGTAATTATATCAAAATGATCATGTAGTTGTGTTTTAATAAAACTATAATGTATATAAAATAAAATTAAATAACATTTTTCACAAATTTGAGTCTATAAATATCGAATGAAACTATAGTTATATCGAAATGAAACTGTAGTTGTGTTGAACTAAAATGGTAGTGTATACAAATTTAAACTCAATAACAGAGTTATTTTTTATAGAAGGGTACGAAACGGCAGAAAACAGATGCTGTTTCTTTTCATTAAACAAAACGACATCGTTTTGATGCGCGGTGCATAATTTGCCATTCTTTAGATTTCCAACCCACACAAAATGGGCTTACTTTATACTTCTAGGCCAGCATCTCAAACCCAAATCACATTTCACGCCCGCCCATATGACCGATTGTATCAAGTGTGGAAAATTCACATTATGAGAAAATTGCATCTTTTAGTTATTTAATTATTATTCTTCCAAAAAAATCATGATTGGTGAGACTCGATCCCTGGTCATTTTTCTAAAATTTCACCTTTATGATCAGTTAAGCTACCCATGCGGACAATTATTTAATTATTATACATGTATGTAATACAACTTTGATGTTTGAATTATATACATGATCATCTTTAACTCTCTAAGTTATGTGCAAGGTGATCATTTTAATTTATTGGGGACTATTATTGTCACTAATATGCCACTTAATAAAGTGATGGATTTAATGATCATTCATGAATTAAATTCACCATTTTATACATAACTTATGATTTAAAGATGATCAAATATATAATTCAATGACTTAATCTATACTACGTGTATAACTAGATGACCAATTTTTTTTCCCTTTTTTATTTGTACTCAAACATTTGCTTGAGAAAAATAAATAGAAAAAAACTCTGCACGTTTTAAATTCTTCGATTCACTGAAAAGTCTGAACGCACTACACGAAAGAAGGTTATGAATGAAGAGAGTCTTATAACTTTAGTTGACAAAGGAACATAATAAGGTGAGGTAATTTAAGTTATTCATAGTTGACTCAAATCATCTATTAAATAATTCTTATGAAAAAAATTAAACTTAAAATTTTGTAATTGTCAAATTAAATTAAATGTGTCCACTGAATTATCCCATACATTGAGCTCTCGCACTTGCAAGTTGCAAGAGTAAGAGCATGAATACATTAGTAAATTTTTATTGCAAGCTTACAAAAAATAATACTCCGTATGAATTTTGTCTTCCTCCATTCATGAAATGGCGCCCTTCTATTCTGTGCTTCGCAGTGCATCTAGACGCGCTAGTCCTTTTGCAGTCCGCGCTATTGATTCTTCTGCAGCTTCCTATGGCGAAACCGTCGCGCCAAACCCTATTCGCAATCGTCTATTTCTGAATAGCTGGCGGCGCTGCTGCTCTCCTCCGGTGCAACATTTTTCTACCGCCGTCGCAGCTAAGAAGAAGAAGAAACAAAGTTCGTATGATGATCATCTAATTCGAATCATCAACTCCGAAATTAAGTGCGCCCGTGAATCTGAATTGCATGATTGTGTAAGCTTTCAAATTTCTTATACTCCACATTATGCTTAAGATTCCTTTATTCAAAGTTTTAGAGTATCTTCTACTGAGCATTGCTGAAATTGAGTTGTTTTCACTTTTCAGTATATAACTGTCCATCAATTAGTGATCCTTTTACTGCATTACTACTGTACTGATGATGATCAGATACTAATGCTAGGTTTTCGTTGAAATAAACGTGATTTTTTTCCTTGGAATTTTGTCGAACATCTTGTGCTCACGTACATAGATAGATGCGATTATTACGAATATTACAAATACTAAGCTATCCATCATTATGTTGAACATACAGAGATAGTGAAGTAGCGTTTGGAAACACAAAACAGAAGCATACTGATTATTTATGCAAAATCTATGCTGTTGCCATTTTCATATAGGCTGTAGACATCCCTGATGGGTTACCTTTCAAGGTAGAAGATAATGTTGGCGAAAGATTCATTGAGCTTAAAAGGGGCTATCAAAATGAGGTGATCAAAATCAAAGTTGACCTGCAGAATGCTAGATGCGAAGCTGCATATGATGATAATGACAAAGACATAGAGCCTCAACCTAGTATTCCTGTGGTAATAACTGTGTTAAAACACAATGTCTCCTGTCTGCAGTTCGACGCCATTGTTTTACCAGACAGGATTTGTATCCGGGGGTTGAAATTGAAAGAGTCTGAAAGTTCAGAAACCCAACTAGCATATACAGGGCCTGATTTCTCGTAAGTTCATATCTATCTATGTTTCAATATATGATTTGAATTCAACTGTTGAAACTTGAAATCATTTTACAGTTGTTGATTCACTAAGCTGTAACACCCTGCCTCCAGGGATTTGGATGAGAGCTTGCAGAAGTGTTTCCAGCAATATCTTGAAGCCAGAGGGCTCACATCCAGTACTGCCATCTTTTTGCTCGAGTATGCCATCAGCAAAGAAACTAAGGAGTACCTTAGGTGGCTCGGAACCCTCAAAAAGATTATAGAAATCTAAATTGCTAGCTCTTTAGTGTAAATTCGACTCAAATTATTTTTTTTTTATCAGTAGCCAACATGCTATGCATCAGCTACTGTAGTGCTTATCCGGTTAGGTATCTTGGAAGCGACAAACCCTTGTGCATGAATTCACATTGTCATCATTTTCAAGTTCTTGTTGACTGATTGAACAGTTTGCTGGTGGTTGATATAGGGCTGTTTTCAGAGTATGCCTTTGGTTTCCTTGTTGATCGGTTATCCACCTATATTTACGTTTTGTTCCATTTGGACTCATTCATTTCAGTAGTTCTCAATATTCTTGTTTAATTACGTAGCTTCATATAACAAATTTCTGAATTTATCTTTTACCCTTTCATCTGTCACATCTATTGGCAATTCATTAACAGCTTACCAACTTAGCTTTCACATACACATGTGTGGATATTTATTTATTTGCTTGTTCGCAATGTTTTATTGGATCAAAATATAATGTATACTATCTCAAAAGGGGTGATCGAGTAGGTAGAGTATGATTCTCATACATAAATGTTACAAGTTTGATTCCTGCTAACACTTTGTCCGTTGCACATAATCTTCTTAATACAGTTTACCTCTGTTGTCGGATAATTTATTTGGTAAAAGTTTTGGTCTTTTACACCTGCTATACCAAGTAATAATATCCCACCCACAACAATCACACAAAAAAAAAAAAAAACATATAAAAAACAAAATAAGTTAATTTTCAAATGACGAAGTGTCTACAATTGATTAATCACAATATGTTACATCTATCAAACAAAACTTTTACTATCAATCTATCATATGTACTAATAACCCTTACAATTATATTTTAATTTTCGGAATCAACTTGTTGGGACGATCGGAGCTATTGCACAACGTAGTGCATGTAATAATGTTGTAGTAATTAAGAAATTAAACATGGTATACTCAAAGAAGAATGGGCCCTAGCCCCTAGCATGAATCACGTCCAAGGAAAGGTTTTGCCAGGCAGATATTACAATAAAATGTTTGGGAACAATTAAAAAAAAAAAAGAAGGAAGAGAGAGACAAACAAACAGACCTACATTGTCTTTGACATCACTCTGATGTTATTTACTAACAACAGTTGGTCCAAGCTAGACCCCATCTCTCTCGTCTTGATCTATAAATGCAACCATTGCCATAGCTTCGATCATATCATTCACCAATAATCTCTTAACCCAACTATAAGCAGCCTTCTCCCATTACACATTCAATCGTCATGGCTGCAACATATCTTCCACAAATGTTTTCAATGGCAATCATACTTCCACTTCTAGCTTTGTTTCTCCTTCCTCAACCTGCACAAGCCTTAACTAGGCACTACGAGTTTAATGTAAGTTCATCTAACTATGTTTAATTTAGTACTGTTTTTAGTGTTTCCCATATAAGTATGTTTAATTTAATTACTTTTTGCATGCCTTCATCTTTAATTACCACTTGCAGGTCACCATGCAAAATGTGACTCGACTGTGCCACACAAAGAGCATTGTTACGGTCAATGGCAAATATCCGGGACCTCCAATTCTAGCTAGGGAGGGCGACCGCCTACTAATAAAAGTCAATAATCATGTTGCTAATAATATTTCAATTCACTGGTAAAGATGATGATAAGCATATGACAATGTTATAATAAATATATATAATTGACAAATAAATACTAATTTTATTTTTTATTTTTATTTTTTTTAAAAACAGGCATGGGATTCGGCAACTTCGTAGCGGATGGGCAGATGGACCAGCATACATAACGCAATGTCCCATTCAAACTGGACAAAGCTATGTGTATAAGTACACCATTGTTGGACAAAGAGGGACTTTATTTTGGCATGCACACATCTCTTGGCTTAGAGCAACACTTCATGGTCCTATTATTATCCTCCCAAAGAAAAATGTTTCTTACCCATTCGTCAAACCCTACAAGGAAGTACCCATCATCTTTGGTACGTAATTACTATAATAATTAATAAATATAATAACCAATTATTTATATGAATATTAGAAATGTAACAATTAGGTGGTAATTGCTTAATTTACAGGTGAATGGTTCAATGGTGATACTGAGGCAATAATTAGCCAAGCTTTACAAACAGGTGGAGGTCCAAATGTCTCTGATGCCTATACCATCAATGGACTTCCCGGACCTTTGTACAATTGCTCTGCAAAAGGTTTTAATTAATTTTCTTTTCCCCTTAATCATATTAATTGTCAACATTATATTGATGTTGAATTATTTTCTTTTTTATTTTAACATCAGATACATTCAAGCTGAAGGTGAAGCCTGGAAAAACATATCTTCTTCGTATGATCAACGCCGCACTCAATGATGAGCTTTTCTTCAGCATTGCAAACCACACTCTCACAGTAGTCGATGTGGACGCAATTTACGTCAAACCTTTCGAGACTGACACAATTCTTATATCGCCAGGCCAGACCTCAAATGTTTTACTAAAGACCAAACCTCAATTCCCAGGTGCCACATTTCTCATGACAGCCAGACCGTATGTGACAGGCCAAGGAACATTCGATAACTCCACCGTTGCCGGCATTCTTGAATACGAATCTCCGCATCTTCATTCCACTGTCTCAATGAAGAAACTCCCGATGTTTAAACCAATCTTGCCAGCCCTAAATGACACTTCTTTCGCCTCCAACTTTTCTAAGAAACTGCGCAGTCTTAATAGTCCTTCGTACCCTGCTAAGGTGCCGCAGAATGTGGATAAACATTTGTTTTTCACAGTGGGTCTTGGGACGAACCCTTGCGACAAAAACCAAACCTGCCAGGGTCCTACTAATGGAACCAAATTTGCTGCTTCAATTAACAATGTATCTTTTGTGCAACCTACCACCGCCCTTCTGCAGGCGCATTTCTCCGGCCAATCCAACCATGTTTATAGCCCATACTTCCCAGTTAGTCCCTTGCACTGGTTTAATTACACTGGAAATCCCCCCAACAACACTATGGTCAGCAATGGAACAAAAGTTATGGTTTTGAATTATAACACCAGTGTTGAGTTGGTGATGCAAGATACCAGCATTCTTAGCGCGGAGAGCCACCCTCTTCATCTTCACGGCTTCAACTTTTTCGTGGTCGGACAAGGTTTCGGAAACTTTGATCGCACAAATGACCCGAAGAATTTTAACCTTGTTGATCCCGTTGAAAGAAACACCATTGGTGTCCCCCCTGGTGGTTGGGTAGCTATTCGATTCTTGGCTGATAACCCAGGTTCGTTTCATATTTATTTTTAACATTAAAAACAACTAACAATGTCGATCTATTAATTATAAATTAAATTTGTTGATAATGAATATAATAGGTGTGTGGTTCATGCATTGCCACTTGGAAGTGCATACAAGCTGGGGTTTGAAGATGGCATGGCTTGTATTGGATGGAAAACTTCCCAACCAGAAGCTCCTTCCTCCTCCATCTGATCTACCAAAATGCTGATCAGATCACTTTAATTTGCAGCATTGTTATTAATGGAGTATTCTTAATTAATTTCTTTGCAGATATATGAGTTTTATTTCATTCTCTCCGGACGACGACCCTGCAGTTTCATTCCTGTTTTAATTTGTTTTTTTAGTTATTATTATTATATTATTTTTTGTAATAGCTGACTCACCTATAATTTTCAACCACATCAGCTCCTGTATTGACCGTGTTTGTAATGTTGGTTATTAATTAATTGAATAATGTTTAATAATGCAAACGAGTAGTTGCATTTACAGTTACAAGTCAATCCAGTATTACATTTTATCCAATTTTCAATTTTAATCAAAATTTATGCTGCAGAAATTCTCTCTATTCAAATGCCAGTTTAACATATATGTACACACATATCACCATCACCAAAACAAAATTTACTCCCAACTCAAAATAACATTGCTATTATTCTACATAAATTTCTCGTTGATATATTTTATATGGTGCTTTAACTTTTTGGTGCAGAACTCAATAAAAAAGAGACATAAATAAAATGGGTCATAGATTTTGACGTGTGAGCCGGTCAATAAAAATTTCAGCTTGCAATAAGGTGAATTAATCCTTATTAACACCTTCACCAAAAAAAAAAAAAAAAAAAAAATTTACTTATTAACACCCTTAAGTCTGGTCCACTAATCCCTGATTAGTCTTTCTAGATGATCATCACTGCTTGGTTTGTGTGATAGGTCACATGTTGCCTCTTTGTTCTAATCCTTATTAACACCCTTAAGTCTGGTATCCCTGATTGTAATCACACTTGTTTTTTGAACCTCTAACCAGCTCAAGGCAAATTATGTTGCGGATCCGGGTCCACCTTACAAGGTCGATCCAGGTCCAAAACACGCGTATGAAATAATGTTGCTGTTAGTGGCATCGTTTCCTTAGCCAATGATTTTTTTTTTTTTTTTGGGTGAATATAGAATTTAAAACTGTATTATACTGTTGAATATAGAGTTATGTAATTGTTAATATAGAGTTTAAAAATTGTGAATATTAAGTTCTGTAATTTTGTATATTGAGATCTAAAATTGTGAATATTCAGTTCTAAATTGTGAATATAGGCTTCAAAAATTATGAATATAAAGGAACGAATTCGGATAAAGACCAACGGCAAGGAAGGAAGTAATTTTTTTTTTTTTTTTATAAAATTTAGACAGCGTCGTTTTCTTCAAAACGACGTCCCTTTGGACCCGAGTCCATGGCATAACAATTGCACGTCCTGGCCTGACAGAGCATCTAGGGGGATGTAAATCATGGTAACTCAGCTGAACACAAAGGCTAGACCATTGCTTACTGTGCAAGAATGTTGCTTCCATATTGCCGCTGGTTAGACTCGATTCTGGATCATTATTCGAAAACTTCAATTCACCCCTGTGACCCAATTGCTCCCTTCCCTTTAACCATGATGACATTGAGTTGAATTGTATGAGTTTGTGTTGTTTAGAGACTCAATTATATTTTTTTCAAGTTTAATGACCTATTTGTAATTTAGTGTACAATTGAGTGACGTATTTGACCTTATTCCAAAAACTTAGATATTAAGCCGAGCTGTGACAATGGGGCGTGCCAATCTGCCAAATGACAATATGTGGACAGGAGAATGTCATTTTTAACCATAGGCTGTAGGCCTGTAGCAAATTTATTTATTTATTTTAAAAAGGTATAACTGACGAAGCAAGACGTACAGTGAATAAAGCACACCGTACTAACTCCAGCCTCCAGGTAGCCATTCCTCCTCTCATAGGCTGCTGGGATTTAGCCATGTTCGCCACGCCACGCCACGCCATAGCTGTATGCACAAAGCAATCACCCGAGAACTCTCAACAGTGGATTTCTATTATTCTCCCCCAGGCCCCATCATTATTAAATTTATTGTCTAATCTCAATCACTTTAATTTTAAAACGTAAACACCTCCGTCAATCTCTTAAACCTCACCTTAATCTCTTCTCTACAGCTCATCCACCGGAAAATTAAAATAAAAAAAAAAAAAAGAAGAAATCTTCGCTTTCGTGTTCCTTTGTCTTAGCTGAGAAATTGTCCTTGGATAAGGTTCTGTTGCATTGCTCGGAATTCTAGGGTTTGGCTTCGGGGGATGGCTCAATCGATGGGCAGCAGAGGTGGTGGAACTGGGAGGTTCATGGTGGGCGATTATTTGGTTGGGAAGCAGGTTGGGAGCGGGTCGTACTCGACGGTGTGGCACGCGCGGCACCGAGACCACGGCACCGAGGTGGCCATCAAGGAGATCGTCACAGCTCGGCTTAACTCCAAACTCCAAGAGAGCCTCATGTCTGAGATTGTTATCCTCCGGAAGATCAATCATCCTAACATTATCCACCTGCACGACATGATCCAGGTCCTCATAATCTATTCCGCTTCAATTCTATTTCTTACTAAGAGAATCCTGCATTTTTTGCTTTTTGTGTGGTTTTGAAGTCAATTAAGCACAAGTGTTTGTATCGGATTGTAGTAGCGCTCGAGGTGGAAATAGAAGCAAGGTTGTGTAATATGCGGAAGGGATGTCAAAAAATGATCAAGACTTGATTGTATGTTAACCGGACATGAAATAGTTATGCCTGCAGTATATAGAGATTAGAGGCAGTGAATGTATGGGGATATCATGGTCGTTCTTTTGCTGAATAGTAATGAAACAGAAATAGTAGTTCGAATCAAGGAAATGACTAATCTGCAGTTGGAATATGCCACATCTGGATTGCAGATTTTCCTTGAAAAATGATTCTGTTATGGTAGTTGAGGGATCTTCTACAAAAAACAACAAAACTCATTTCTGCTATGGTAGTTGAGGGAGCCAATGAATCTTAGAAACTAGAATATTTGTATAGTGCTGGATATATTCAAGAAATGACTAATTTGCAGTTGGAATTTGCCATCTGGCTTGCTGATGTTCTTTGAAAAACAACAAAACTTATTGCCCTTATGGTATGTAAAGGGAACTGACGAGTCTTAGAATATTTATATACTATATTGATGGTTTGTTTAGAATATCAAAAAGATTATATTTTCTTCCTTAGAATGGAAGATCCTTTCCTCGTTTCGGAGTTGATTTGAATTTCGTACTCTTAAGATTTTCTTTTGCTCAATGCAATCTTTTGAGTGGAGCTTCATTGTTGCTTTCATAATGATATGCTTTTCAGCTATTGTAAAGAAATGAAATATTTGTGGTTTTATATCAGTATTTGTGTTAGATGTGCTTTATTTACCTTAATAACGGAGAAATTACTGTCACCACAGACCATCCAGTTGGTCTCAAATATCTGCTTTTACAAATTATTATGCACACCTTATTTTTTTGTTTTTGTTGAAAGACACAAATGATCTTTATTTTTATAAGTTACTGCTATTCTAAATGATCTTGAATGTGCCTGGATTCCCTGGAATATAGGAACCTGGAAAGATTTATATAGTGTTGGAGTACTGTAGAGGAGGTGATCTTTCAATCTACGTCCAACAACGCAATGGGAGAATCCCAGAAGCAACTGCAAAACATTTTATGCAGCAGCTAGGTATTTTGGAGCTTCTATTTTGTTTATTTTACTTTTGGTAACTTTATACATTGTAATTTTGATTTTCACATCAATGACACAGCATCGGGCTTAAAAGTTCTTCGTGAGAACAACTTAATACATCGGGACTTAAAACCACAGGTTTGCTTTCACATCTAGCACACAAATTATGTTTGGCACATGTATCATGTATGTATGCGTCTACTTTACACCTACATACTTTGATAATTCAAAAGTTCTGAATAGAAAGTTGGTCATTCATGTGATTAGTGAAGATAACATTTTCTTCTAATATAAAGAGTTAGAATTTCATTTAGAGGGAATCAGTGAATCACTATATATCACAGCTAATGCGGATATATTTTATGGACACTGATAACTGATTTTTTGTTTACACATAAATTAATTCTTAGTAATACATTTTGTGTCATTTCTGGAACAGAATCTCCTCTTATCAGTAAATGATGACAATGCTGTTTTAAAGATTGCTGATTTTGGATTTGCAAGGTAAACTTACTATCTCTTCTTAATTACATCACCTATCTTTCCTAAATGTTAAAGGAAAGGAACGCGCATTCTTTTTTATCTCACTAGAAAGTCAACACCCTACTCCTGCTAGGCTGCCTAAACAAACCTGTTCTCTTTCCTTTTATTCTTTCTCAGAGTGTGTGCTCTGACTATACAATTTTTCCTTCTGTTATGTGTATCTCTTTCCCTTTCTTACTCTATTTAGCTAATACTTCTGTCAATGGATACCTCTCTCTATGGATTTCTTATCTGTCAGCTCTTTTAATCTAAGTACTGAATACCCTCTTTGGCTTTTCCCCTTATGTTATTTTTCCTCCTCCCTTTTATATATCGGAATTAAAAGAACATGACAAACTAACTAAAAGATGTTTTGATACCCAGCTTGCTTTAATCTTGTATAATGCTGGTTTATATTTTCTCTCTCTGAAGATGGATTCTTTGAAGAGTGAGATAGAAGCTGTTCATAAAATTTTGGAAATATATTTAGCTTTAGCATTGTTCTCATTTTCTGATTGTAGTCTCAAATCCTTAAACAGCTTTTACTTAGAAATATAACCTTTTTCTTTGCAGGAATCCTGTTGTTTTCTCTTAATTTCAAAATTGTGTTTCTTTGCGTCTCATTATCTGATTCTTCTCTGCCCCTTTTGCATTTATTCGTAGAAACTTTATATAGTTTTAATGTTCAGTCTTCACAGACTCTGCTGTTGGTCATACTGTTCCTCAAATGGCAATATAATCTCACTTATAACAAATAATAATTGCTCAAAGAATTTATCCTTTTTTTGGCAGGTCTTTGCAACCTAGAGGCCTTGCAGAAACCTTATGTGGTTCACCACTATACATGGCTCCTGAAATTATGCAACTTCAGAAATATGATGCAAAGGTGAAATTTACTTATTAGAAGCTCTATGTTCATGTTCTTCTTAATCTCCTATTAACTTTGAGCCACAAACACAGGCAGATCTCTGGAGTGTTGGTGCCATTCTGTTTCAGCTTGTAACTGGCAAAACCCCATTTATAGGAAATGACCAATTACAGGTTTAATAATCTACTTAGTTACAATGAAATGTACTTAGTTCAGTGCTTTTCAATGTGAATATAACATCTAAATTTTAATGCCTGACTGTCTTGTTCTAAACCTTTACTTGCAGTTGCTTCAGAACATAGTGAAATCAACTGGATTGCAATTCCCTTCCAATGCAAAGGATTTAAGTGATGAGTGCAGAGATTTATGCCGAAAATTGTTGCGCCGTAATCCAGGTACGGCAACCAGTATGCTGTGATATCAGCAGAACATTGAGCCTCTGATAGCAAGTTATTCCATTTGTTTTTTCATTATGAGATGAATTTTTTTGCCCACGTGAATCTTTGAAGAAAAAAATCCAAATTGAATACTTTTCTGTTTATTATTTGAAGAAAGCAAATGCTATTCTCCATGCCTATTCTATCTGAATTGTAAACACCCTCATTCTAATTCTTTTCCCCCTGTAGTGGAGCGGTTGACATTTGAGGAGTTCTTTAACCACCCATTTCTTGCAACAAGGCAACCAGATGAACTGTCTAGGTAAGTTAGGTGATTAATTTAAATTCTTGGTACCTTAAGAAACAACAGTCTCCTACCTCAACAAACTATGGAATCATTGTGGTACACAGGATTTGGAGACCACAGAGGAAGATAGATGGTTTTCCTCTGTCAAGCTGCACTCCTGCAAGTGCAGATGAAAGTCAAGAAGACTGTCTACCATTCAGACTTGATGATGATTCAAGTGGTACTGACAGCAGTCAATCTGTCACTGGGAGATTACTACAAAGACCTCCATATGGATATCCTATTAATGTAAAAGCTTATAGAGAGGATGCTTTCAATGTTCCCATGTTACCAGACCCAACCTTCGATGGCAGTGGTAGTGATTGCAAACGGGAGAGCACTGCATTTAGTGTTGGCAACTGTCACCTTTCAGAAGGAAACTTGAAAGAATCTCGTAGTTCCATTGAACATAGGCCAGCAGCTAGTAATCCAGAAGGTGCTCTCATTTGCAATAATAATCGATAATTTTTTATTTTTCCTAAATTTAGAGAGTGCTGCAAAAATATACTTTTCTAATATCAATTTCACATGGATTAACATTGGTAAAGACCTACCTTTTGACCCTTTCTTATTATCATATTTGCATGGATTAACAGTGATAAATTCACTGGAGTTGATTGATCAAGGTTATGTCATTGTTTCTGCCCCCCCTGTGGATTCTTCTTCATCAACAGGTGCTTCTAAGCTTAGCAATATGCCAATGGTATCAGGCTGTTCCCCACAAGCTCCAAGGGATGCGTACTCCAGGCCAAGTGCCCCGATGCCCATTATGGGACCTGCAACCCATAAAGTAGGCTGTGTAGGAAGTCTTGATAGCCACACATCTGCTCATGGTACATCACAAGGATCAGTGGATATAGCTGACACCTTGGAGCAACCATCAACTGATTGCATGAGGAGGATTGAGTCATTGCAATGTTGTGCTTCTGCTATCACAGAATTAGTAAATGAGAAGGTAACTCATAGTTCTTCCACTCTTTTTGGGATGTAATTTTAAGCATTGAGTCATCTTCTAGGTAAGTTGTCTTAGCATGCAGTGTAGGAGGGGAAGAGAAGGGACTGGAAGGGTGATGCTTCCATCTCGTTGTTCTTTATTTCTTCATCCTCGTAACAGAATATTTTGTTGTGGTAGTTCATGTTTGCATGCTTCAAGCTGCAAGAATAATAATGATGGGGCGAGGCTTGAGTCTTAAGAGTCAAATTGTAACATGCCAATATGAACATTATCTGGAAAAAAGAAAAAAACTTATTTGTGTTAATGCATACAAATTAGTGTTGAGTAGTCAACAACACTTTTTAGATATCAAATCCCTTTTTTAAATCCCTTGCTTGGAAATATACATCAATGTTTCTTTCCTCAGGGCTTTGTTGACCCATATATGTTCAGTTTTATCCCCCTGGGTCTTTAATCTGTTACTTCGCATGCCTGACATAGGTTTTCTTTTGTACCAAAAGAATCTAATCAGATTATTGAATTTATAGATTAGAAGCAGGGACCTAGCAATTTGCGACAAGACCTGTTAACATGATGTGAAACCTGACACAAAAATAATGAGTTAGTGTTTAGCATTAACCTGTCCTAGGTCAGTAATATGTTGACCTGTCAAGAACCCGTTATTATTAGCATTAGTTATGATTTTTATATATTATTTTTAAAAAGTTTTTTTTTTTTTTTCCTCCCTGAAGTTGTATTTTCTCAAAAGAAAATTACTCTGTATATTACCATGTCTAACGGGCTTTAAACGGGTTATCGTGTCATATCGTGTTGTGTAGACCTGAAACTTGTTAACTAAACGTATCTATCGTGTCAACCCATTTAAAAATCTTTTTCATGTTTAGAACTTTAACCTGCTAACCTTAATGGGTTGTGTCCGTGTTTAACCTTATTGTGTTTGTTTCGTTATCGTGTCAACCCATTAACGACCTCATTTACACGAATTGCTAGGCCTATTAAATAGAAAGTACATTTTGTAATTGCTAGGTCTATTAAAAAGCTTTTTCATGTTTAGAACTTTAACCTGCTAACCTTAATGGATTGTACATTGTACCTCATTTGTAATTGTAACCTTTGTCAAACAGAGCCTTAAAATAAGACCCTTCTAATATTTTCTGCTTCCTTTAAAAAGTCTGAGGCAGGCAAACATCTGGAAGCATTCTCAATTCAGCTTGTCATTCTTGCAATATGGAAGCAAGCTTTGCATATTTGTCATACTCAAGCAGCATCAGCAGTTGAAGGAAGTCCAACACAACATGCTACTACACTGCGGGAAACTATGAAGAGGGGTCAAGGCGGTCTCAACGTACACAATCCTGTTGATGCTTCTAACACTTTGGGGCCACAGGATGTCTGCTCTCATATTCAAAGGTCATTCCTCAGTGAAGTTCAGAATGCTGAGGAACTTTCCAAATTTGTAGAGCCTGGTAAATCTTTGGTGTCTAAACACTGTCATTTTCTGCTGCATGTTTCTTATTTTTATTTATTAAATTTAAATCTGGTATTTATTTATTTATTTACTTTGTACTCCATATTTATTATGTGTAATGCTTTCTAAAGTGCCTTTACTTGTAGTTGGAAATTGTTTTTGTTCCCTCCATTTCCCACAAAAGAATGAAAATGAATACCTATTTCATCATTTGCTATAGTACCAAATATTTGTACATACTACAATTATACTAGACTACAAACTAACTTGAGAAGCTACAATCTCTAAGTTGACCGTTAGTTCCTCCATCGACTTTTCTAGGTTGAGGTGTAAAATTATGATTTGTATATGTTTTGACATTGAATGTATACAAGTTTTATTGGAGAGAATGTATACAAGTTTTATTGAAGTAATGTATTTTAACTTCAGTACTTGAGTGCATTGTAAATTCTAGTCGGCTGGAAAAGAATATGTCTGCTTGTGTTAATGTGATGCATTAAACTGCCTGCTAATATCTCTATTTTAGTAGGACTAATTATGCTATAATGTCTTTTCAGGAAATACTGAAGTGCCAGATGCAATGGAGATTATATTCCAATCTGCCCTAGCAATGGGCAGGAAGGGGGCTGTAAGTGTTTGCTCTGTGTGCCCTTTGATTGAAATCTTGTGGTTTATGTCTTCGTACAGCTACATTGTTTACTAGATATGTTATATTATCATGTTTACCCGGCAGGTTGACGAATACATGGGCCGGACAGAAAATGCAGTAGTATTTTATTCAAAAGCAGTGCAGTTATTAGCATTCCTTCAAGTGGAAGCACCGTCTCTCATTTTAAATCCCCCGTTCTATCTGACAAACACAGATCGGTATAGGCTTCAGAATTACATAGACGTTCTTAAAAACAGGAAAAGCATTTCGAGATCCCAAATGATGGCTCTGCTCAAGTGCGAGGACCAACATTGCTCCCCATAAAGACAAAGGTTTCAACTAATTCATACTAACTGGTGAAGTGGTGATAGCATGTCATGTTATAGTCTGCAAAATTATTTATTATGTACAGTTAATTCTTTTATGTTGTTCCTGCTCTTGAAGGAAATTGAAATCCACTGGACTGGAACAATATATACTTGATTAACATGTAGGCTGAAGCCTTCAGAATTCTACCAGAATCAAGTTGTGGCCTGTGGCATTGCCTCTTGGTGAAGGTACTTATAGGATGCGTTTGGGTTATGTTACACTTCTAAATTTAACATCTTTGAAAGTTACAGATTACCTAAATATTCGAATGAAATGAGTTTCTTGGGGATGCGTCAAAACGTGAACTTGAAAATCATTTTCAAGTTGTTGGATCCCCTCCTGTTTAAGAAACTCTAAATGACTAAATTCACATTATTTGGAAGGCAAATTTTCCTATGAGACCGTCTCACGGGTCCTTAGACGAGTCAGATTTTTTATAACTATTACAAGTATTATAATTTTCTATCATAAGTAATTCTTCAAATCTTAATATTACATTTTTATTAAAAGTATTACATTTTTTTTATCATAATTATTATACTTTCTCTTATAGGTAATACTTAAACAATTTACCCATGATTAGTATTACTCATAAATAACTATTTAAAGCTAAATATTATATTTTAAATTAAAAGTATTATATTTTCTTTAAAAGTATTATTTTTTTCTTATAAGTAACAAACCATTTATTTTTGATTAGTATTATATTTTTTTTAACATAAGTATTACATTTTTATCAAAATTTTAATCTATCTCACAAATAAAAATTCATAAAACTGAAATAATGAAACGGTCTTATAGGAGCCTCACTCTATTTGAAATAATAACTTGGAATAAGATTATATTGGCGGCGGATGACTTGAGAGATGGTAATAATTAACAGGAAGTAAACACAATTCATATATGGAAATATTTAACCAAAATCCCTTAGCGCAAGGCTCCAAAGTCTTAGATGTATACAACAAATTATATAGTGAGTTAGGGTTTACATACGTATAGTGAGCTCTGCTCCAAATTATACATATGCAGTTAACATATTACGTATTTTTAGTTAATTAATTAATGAATTATGTAACAAATTAATTGTGCAGTTTGTTTGATAACCTTTCGTTAATGGGTTATGTAGGGACAACTCTCAGTCAAGTTAGTTTGTTTAATAATTACAAGATTTTAAGTTCGTGGGAGAAGTTTATTGGCATCTCATAATTTTTCAATGTTAGTAGCTTAATTTTCATGCGATTATTTATTTAGTAGAATGTTTTTTAAAAGAGTTTTACTACATGTATTCCCAATCTCTACTCACTCATTTTTTTATTTTTTTTTTTTAATTTATGCACATATTTTTGTATGCCATAACATCCTAGGGTTTCCCTCTCACACAATCATTGACTTTGACAAAATGATTTAATAAATTAATTATAGCCGCAAAGATAAAGATGAAGTCAGAAGTTGACAACGTTGACAATGTGCACCGCACGATATGATCAGAGAGACTGTTTTTTTGTCTCCATCTGAAGAAATAACTGAATGGGAATGAATTTGTTCAAGTCAGAATGTAATGCCACTAATTGCAACGTAGCAAAGTCAGAATGGTAATGCCAGTAATCCCAAAATAGCAATTCTTCAACGTTAATTGTAGCTTTGATTGCTAACCAAATCTGGTTGACATACATGCAAAAATCAACTTGATCTTTAATGTATAATATTAATTCAAATAAATTAAATCAATTCCATACCGTCCAACCACCCAAGATATGGTTTCTCAATAAATGCAATAATAATGCACAAAGACTCTGCATATCTTCGGGTATTATTATATATATAAATCTGCAGAAATGTGTCATCTAAATTCAACTCTTTCAGCAATGATTAACCACCATAGTTTAAGCTCTCTACTTCTCTTCTTCTTCTTCTTCTTCTTCTTCTTCCCCCTCCTCTTTTGTTTTCATTCAGAAGCTAAGCATCTGTTTCAGCTGGAAAGAGGCCATTCCCTATCCGTTGAGGATGCAAACTCAACTTTTCTAACATCCCCAGACAACACATTCACCTGTGGCTTCTATGGACTGGGAACCAATGCTTACTGGTTTGCAATATGGTTCACAAATTCCAGGGACAGAACTGTTGCCTGGGTGGCAAACAGGGCCAGGCCGGTCAACAGCAGGGGCTCCAAGGTGGTGTTCAGAAAAAATGGAGCTTTAACATTAACCGATGTCGATGGGATGGCTGTGTGGGAGAGTAATACCACTGGAACTAGTGTTAACACAGCTGAGCTGCTTGATACAGGCAATCTTGTTCTCAGGGATCCACAGGGTGTTGTTTTCTGGCAAAGTTTCGGTTTTCCCACCGATACTTTACTGCCTTCCCAGCTGTTCACGAAGAACTACAGGCTGGTATCTGCATTAAGGGAAGGGAGCTTTGAGCCAGGCTACTTCAGTTTATACTTTGATGGTGATAATGTGCTGAAGCTGATATATGATGGCCCGGAGGTTTCTCGTTTGTATTGGCCAAACCCTGATTTTGATGTGTACACCAATCAGAGAACCAACCAGAACAGTACCAGAATTGCTTTCCTTGATAATTTGGGAAGGTTTTTCTCCAGTGATAAACAGCAGCATAACTTGTATCTAAATGCTAGTGATGCAGGTTCTGAGATGAAGAGGAGGATAACAATGGATATTGATGGGAATCTCAGAATATACAGCTTGGATGATTTAACTGGGGAGTGGAGGGTAACCTGGCAAGCTCTTCAACAGCCATGTGGGGTACATGGAATCTGTGGAAGAAATGGTATTTGTAATTATGGTCCAGAGCCCAAGTGTTCATGTCCTCCAGGGTATGTGTTGAGCAATTCCAGTGATTGGAGCAGAGGCTGCAAGGCTTTGTTTAATAAAACAGCTTTAGTAACTCTGCCAGTCAAGTTCTTGGAGATTCCCCAGGTGGATTACTGGGGATTTGATCTCAACTATACTCAGCCTTTCTCCCTGGAAGACTGCAGGAAATTGTGTTTAGAGGATCGGAGGTGTGTGGCGTTTAGCTACAGGCGAAATGGGGAGGGAAAATGTTTCACCAAAAGCACCCTTTTCAATGGCTACAGATCTCCAGATTTTCCAGGAAGTATATTTATAAAACTCCCCAGAGATCTGCCAGTGCCAGTGCCAGAATCTGCAGGTATCGTGATTCTCAACCGTTCTAACTTGGTATGTCCAGAAGATGCAGCAGAAGTTCTTGTTGGTTCTCCTTCAATGTATGAAGTGAAACCTAGAAAGCTGAGATGGATTTATCTGTACTCGTTTTGTTTTGCATTTGGCGGGATTGAACTTGTTGTTTTCTTGTTGGGTTGGTGGGCTTTATTCAGCAAGCATGGGATTCCAGCTTCAATTGAGAATGGGTATTGCATGTTATCCAGTCAGTTCAGGAGGTTCACTTATGCAGAACTGAAGAAGGCAACCAAGAATTTCAAGGTGGAGCTAGGGAGAGGAGGCTCAGGTGCAGTTTACAAAGGCGTTTTGGAAGATGGAAGGGCGGTGGCAGTGAAGAGACTCGGAGATGAGTTTCAAGGAGAAGAACAATTCTGGGCAGAGATGACCACAATCGGAAAGATCAACCACATGAATTTGGTGAGAATGTGGGGGTTTTGTGCACAAGGGAAACACCACCTTTTGGTGTATGAATATGTACAAAATTCCTCACTAGACAACCACATTTATACCTCAAAGTTTCTTGGGTGGAAAGAAAGGTTTGAAGTGGCATTAGGCACAGCTAAAGGCCTTGCATACCTTCATCATGAATGCCTGGAATGGGTGATCCATTGTGATGTGAAACCAGAAAATATACTTCTAACTAGTGACCTCGAACCCAAGATTGCAGATTTCGGGCTAGCCAAGCTTTCTCAAAGAGGTGACCCTGGTTCATATTTCACCAAAATCCGCGGAACAAAAGGCTACATGGCTCCAGAGTGGGCTCTAAACCAACCTATCACTGCAAAAGTAGATGTGTATGGTTATGGTGTTGTGATCCTGGAGATGGTGAAGGGTACCCGGCTCTCGAGCTGGGTGGTGGAAGAAAGTGGGTACCAGCAGGAGGAAGCAGACTTAAAGAAAATTTTGTGGTCAATAAAAAGGAAATTTGTGTTAAAAGATGAGAGCTGGGTGGATGATGTTGTGGATACAAGACTAGAAGGCAAGTTTTGCAGGAGTCAGGCTAAGACATTGATTAAGGTTGGTCTTGCCTGTGTGGAGGAAGACAGAAACAAGAGACCAACAATGGCTTCTGTCGTACAAACTCTGCTTGATTCTGAAGATGAAACAACAACACAATCTCCAAATGTTCTTTATATCTAAATCTAATCTGCCCATTCTCAAATCTATAAGAAATATGGATATCTACTTTTTCATTTTTTGTACTCAAAATATGCACAATTTGTCTCCTCTTCACTTTTTTTTTTTTTTTTTGGAATACAACTGACTCTGATAATAATATTAAAGTCAATAATCATATATCAAAGTCAGTATATCACTGTTAATAATATACTCCGTAATTAATGTGTTTTGACTTTGATATATGATTATTGAATTTTAACACTGGAGCTAACTAGTATAGGCTGAAGCCTCTAGAAGAATTCTACTAGCCCCAACTTGTTGAATTCACTCCTTATTAAGATATATGAATGCAATTTTATGTCATTTTCCCATTATTTTGGATTACTTTGAATATAATTAAATTAGTGGCGGCTGATTCTTTACTTATTCTGTTACATTAGTTTTGAACTAGGGTTGCATTTTTTTTTTCTTTAATAATTTTCTGTACACAACAAATAACAATTACCAGTACAGTGTTCTAAACAATATATACACACGTCATATGAACTAAAGTCTAAAATAACTCCACGTAAGACTTATATCGGTGAGTCTCAACTTTATTTAACTCGACAAAAAATTTATAATGAAGAAACTTAATAGAAATGAGATTGTTAACATGCATTGCTTATTATTAATTAAAGTATGTGTTCCTCTCCTTTACATTCATATTTGTTTTTAGAGTTAATTCTATTTTTGATCTTAGATTTATAGGTAGTTGTTCACTTTTAGTTCTTTTTTAGAACATCTCTATTTGATCTTAATATTATTGCGACATAATCATTTTTTGGTCATCCGTCAACAAAATCATGCATTGAAAAGTCGTTAAATACAATGACATTTTGATCTTTTTAATACAAAGTGGGTTGACCTTTTTAAAAAAAAAAAAAAATTGTTTGAAAGAAAAACTCATAATTGAAGAACTAAATGTCATTGTATTTTACGAAATTTAAACTGTTTTGTTGATGTGGATGTTTTGAAAAAAAAAAAAACTAAAAAATGAATTGTCACTTATAAATCTTAAACAAAAAATAATTAACTCTTATTTTTAAGAAGTAGATATTTGCATACCTTATTTTAATTAACCATTTTCTTAACAAAAATATGCATTACAAAAGTATTATCTTAGGCTATCTACATCCATGAAATGGTTGCAATTGGCACATAGGAAACAAATGCATGTTTTTTTTTTTCTTTTTACTTTTCCGTTTGCAAGCTAAGTTTGCAAAATATGAAATTTGATTTGCAAGCTTGCAAATGTACTTTTATGGGCCCCATTATCCTTTATAAATCTTTTACTTTATTATTATTTTACTAATTGATATGGAATTTAAAAGTATTGTATGGATGTGAAATGAATATTAAAGAATTGTAAATGTGATAATATAATAATGAGTTCTATTACATTGTACTCCCAAATCTTATTCCTTGATGTGGCGGGATATATAGGTTATTTTCTTCACGTGGGTTAATGTGTTTACATAAAAAATGTTAAGTATGGGAATAAAGGTTGGGGGTAGGGAATGAGAGTCCATATAGTGTTTTCCTATGATAATAGAGTCTAATTTTAAATGTGAAAGAGTACTTGATGGATGGTTTAATTTTGATTTAATGCCATAATTCAGCGTTGAAGCTTTGAATCCATGGCAGGTGTCATGTCAATTGAATTGTTTAATTTGACACGCAACAGTAGATTAGTTGATAAATTAAATGTTGTGTGTTGAAATTAATTTCAAACGACCAAATGCAAGAATGCATGCGCGCATTCAAGCTCGATCTTCAGGTGTTATTATATAATTAAATCTGCATGTCTAATGTGTTCCTACAAACTCATCAACTCTGATCTTTTCCGCCATGGTTAACCTTCATTGCTTAACCACCTCTCTTCTTATTATCTCCTTCCTCCTCCTCTATTCCTTTCATTCAATTTCAACTGCAGAAGCTAAGCATCTCCTTCATCAGCTGGAAAGAGGCCATTCTCTATCCGTTGAGGATGCAGACTCCACTTTTCTAACCTCCCCAGACAACACATTCTCCTGCGGCTTCTATGGATTGGGAAGCAATGCTTACTGGTTCGCAATATGGTTCACAAATTCCAGGGACAAAACTGTTGTTTGGGTGGCCAACAGGACAACGCCGGTCAATCGCCGCAGCTCCAAGCTGTCGCTCCGAAAAAATGGAGCTTTAACGTTAACTGATGTCGATGGCAAGACCGTGTGGGAGATTACTACCCCTGGAACTAGAGCTAATAGAGCTGAGCTTCTTGAAACTGGGAATCTTGTTCTCAAGAATCCGGAAGGGGATATTCTCTGGCAAAGCTTTGGTTGTCCCACTGATACTTTACTCCCTTCCCAGGTGTTCACCAAGGACTACAAGCTCATATCTCCATTAAGGGAAGGGAGCTTTGAACCGGGCTACTTCAGATTATTCTTTGATGGTGATAACGTGCTAAAGTTGGTATATGATAACCAAGATGTTTCTCGTGAATATTGGCCTGACCCTTATTTTGATGTGTACACCAACGAGAGAACCAACTATAATGGTACTAGAATTGCTTTTCTTGATAATCTGGGAAGGTTTTTCTCTACTGATAGAAGGGAGTATAATTTATACTTAAACGCTAGTGATGCGGGTTCTGGGATCAAGAGGAGGATGAAACTGGACATTGATGGGAATCTCAGAATCTACAGCTTGGATGATTCCACTGGGCTGTGGAAGATAACCTGGCAAGCCCTTCAAAAGCCATGCGGGGTACATGGAACCTGCGGAGGAAATGGTATTTGTAATTATGGTCCAGAGCCCAAGTGTTCATGTCCTCCAGGGCATTTGATGATCAATTCGAGTGATTGGGGAAGAGGGTGTAAGGCTTTGTTCAATACAACAGATTTAATAGCTCAGCCAGTCAAGTTCTTGGAGATTTCTCATCTGGATTACTGGGGATTTGATCTCAACTACTCTGAAACCTCCTCGCTGGAAGACTGCAGGGCTATGTGTTTAGAGGATGAAGGGTGTGTGGCTTTCACTTACTGGAACAATATTGGAGAGATAAGATGTTTCACCAAGAACAGGCTTTTCAACGGCTACAGATCCCCAGATTTTCAGGGAAGTACATTCCTAAAACTCCCCCAAGATCTTCCAGTCCCAGAATCAGGTACAGTGATCCTCAACCGTTCTAACTTGGTATGTCCAGAAAAGGTAGCAGAAGTTATGGTGGGTTCTCCTTCAATGTACGAAGAGAAAACTAGGAAGTTGATATGGGTTTATCTCTACTCGTTTTGTTTAGCAATTGGTGGGGTTGAAGTTTTTGCTTTTGTGTTGGGTTGGTGGGTTTTATTCAGCAAGCATGGGGTTCCAGCTTCAATTGAGAATGGATATTGCATGTTATCCAGTCAGTTCAGGAGGTTCACTTATGCAGAACTGAAGAAGGCAACCAAGAATTTCAAGGTGGAGCTAGGGAGAGGAGGCTCGGGTGCAGTTTACAAAGGCGGTTTGGAAGATGGAAGGGCGGTGGCAGTGAAGAGACTCGGAGATGAGTTTCAAGGAGAAGAACAGTTCTGGGCAGAGATAACCACAATCGGAAAGATCAACCATATGTATTTGGTGAGAATGTGGGGGTTTTGTGCAGAAGGGAAACACCGCCTTTTGGTCTATGAATATGTACAAAATTCCTCACTGGACAAGCACATTTACACCCCAAATTTTCTTGGGTGGAAAGAAAGGTTTGAGGTCGCATTAGGCACGGCCAAAGGGCTTGCATACCTTCACCATGAATGCCTGGAATGGGTGATCCATTGTGATGTAAAACCAGAAAATATACTTCTAACCGGTGACCTCGAACCCAAGATTGCAGATTTCGGGCTAGCCAAGCTTGCTCAAAGAGGCGACCCTGGTTCATATTTCACCAACATTCGGGGAACCAAAGGCTACATGGCTCCAGAATGGGCTCTAAGCCAACCCATCACTGCAAAAGTTGATGTGTATGGTTATGGTGTGGTGATCCTGGAGATGGTGAAGGGTAGTAGGCTCATAAATTGGGTGGTGGAAGAAAGTGAGTTCCAGCAGGAAGCAGATATAAAGAAGTTTTTGTGGGCAATGAAGAGGAAAGTTGAATTAAAAGAAGAGAGGTGGGTGGATGAAATGGTGGATAAGAGACTGGAAGGGAAGTTTAGCAGGAAACAGGCTAAGACACTGATCAAGGTTGGGCTTGCATGCGTGGAGGAAGACAGGAAAATGAGGCCTACAATGGCTTCTGTGGTTCAAATGTTGCTGGAATGTGAAGATTAAATAACAAACAATCCAAATATCAGATATACTATACGGGCCTTAGCTTGGAATCTTGGATACCATTAAAGGGATACCCATAGTTTTCCCTATGATACCTAGCTTATTCTATATTTTTCTTAATGCTTAGCTTGTTAAAGCCCAATGAAACTTTCTAACTGAGTGACAAGATCGAATATAATATAATGTCTAAGTGGCAAATTTTACTATGGACCATGGTCTAAAGAAACGGCACTCGTTCTGTGTAATTAATTACGTTTGAATTGTATAACATATTTAGTTTCATTTTATATATATTGTAGTTTTATTTCAGTACAATTAAAGTTTCATTTTGTTTCAATTACAGTTTCATTTGACATTATACATACAATAGTCTTATTACAGTTAAACCTGTTATTGAATTTCATTTTATACAGACTGTAGTATTATTACAACACCACTAAATTATAATTCTAATTCAACTATGATTTCATTGGACAATATATCATCAAATATGTGAAACTGTTATTTTGTTTCATTTTATATACACTGTAGTTTCATTACAACACACCTAAAATATCATTTTGATATAACTGCAGTTTCATTTGACAATATACACCCAATATGTGAGACATGTTATTCAATTTCTTTTTGTACATACTGTAGTTTCATTTCAGCACAACTAAAATATCATTTCAATTCAACTACAATTTCATTTGACAATATACACTCGATCAATATGTGGACATGCATGTTATTCAATTTCATTTTATACATAATGTAGTTTCATTTCAACACAACTAAAGTATCATTTCAATTCAATTATAGTTTCATTTGATAGTATAAATTAAACGCAATATGTGAGACACGTTATTCAGTTTCATTTTAGATATACTGTAGTTTCATTTTGCTCTGAACAAATCAGAAATACTGAATTTGTTAAATATAATGGTCGTCGTTAAACGGCATCATTTTCGGACCATGGTCCACACAACTACTCCGTATACCTAGTGAAGCTAAGTTAGACAACCTACGATTGTACATTCATCACATAAATACATAAGAGTCAAATGTAAATTTATAATGAATTCACATAAATAAATGTTTAGTCTGTTGAGTATATAATCATTAATGTGAAAAATCCAACTATTAGCTTAGCCTTTTAGTTGAGATGGAGCACATGCTTCAATTTAATCGAGTTATGTATAGTGAGACAAACCATATAGAAGTTTCAATTTAAGGGTTTTTTCTATTTTTATTATTATTTTGGGGGGGGGGGGGGGGGGGGGGTTGGGGGATGTTAAGAAAATGAACATTATGGAGTGACTAGTCAACATTATCAAGTTTCCAACTTACTGTTATCACGTGATGAAAACCATCACAAAGAAACCAATTCAAGGAATAAGAGAACAAAACCCTAGAAACATTCTCCATCACCAAAGAACTAACAAGGAAATTTTATCTCATTATTGCACTTATTGTTCTTCAACAAAATAGTATACTTTGATTTGGTGGTCTAAAATTCTTAATTTTTTTGGTAGAGGTCTAAAATTCTTAATAGTTATCCTTCAAACAACTCTACAACTTACCCCAAATTTATAACTGTCCGATTAGTTGACACATTAATTATTGCTAGTTACCCTTCAAACACTTTAATTTACAACTTACCCCAAATTCATCAACTGCCCGATTGGTTGACACATTAAGTATTGCTTAAAAACAGAATCAAGAAATCTAGAATAAATACAAACTACATCATATTTATATGTAATTATATTCTAACCTACCGACTTTCAAAAAAAAAAATATATATATTCTAACCTACCGTAAATTTATTATTGTAGCTTCATTATGCTTTTCTATCTCGTTGCGCTCCACTCCACTACCATACGCTCCTGCACCTATCATCTCCTAATAAATGTCTCATACACAACAATTATCTTCTCGGTCCTTGATCATTCTTTAAAAAAAAAAAAAAAAACAAATAAATTCAAGCATATGATGGGGTGAGAGTTGACATTTGGGGATTTAGAAAGTTGCTAGAAACGTATATTAGAATTGACTCAGATGGTATACTGTGCTCCCTATTCGCTCGACCTCATCAAACATGCAGATTTTCTTGTGTCTGCCTTTTTATTAATTTGAATATGCAATTCAGTTAAAAAGACCGAAAAAAAAATGGCGCAAATGCACGGTACGGTACCTATATATTCTTAACTTCATCAGATTCATATATATCCCAGGAAGCAAGCTCTTATATTTATTACGGAGTAGATTGATCTTTCCATACAGCAATCACTATGTATTATTTCATGAAGAATATTTTTGTACGCACACGGACTTAACTCAATGGTTCAATATGCAGTATTTTGGAGAATTATAAGAATATTATTTCCAATAACATTTATTTCTGAGCTTTGAATTAATGTTAAAGAACATCTCTGAGCTTTGAATTGTGAGGCAGGCACAAGTTTCAATTTCATTTATATTTGTAAAGAAAAACGATAACGTAATATTAGGATCACATTATTATATTACTCGTGACTTATTGAGTCAAGTCTAATTAATGAGATCGAAAATATCAATCTAAGAAGAGCTAGGTCTAGTTTAGACGGTCTTATAAGATCAAATATATCAATATATCCAACGCTACAAAGATTTGGTTGAGCACGTCGAGGTTAAATTAGTACTTATTGCTTTGGGTGAAGTCCTTCTTGTGACATAGTTGGTTAAGGATCATAATTAGGTAAATCAGTTTAGGTTGTCCATAGTTAGTCGGTTCAAACCAAGAACACCAATAGATCAGACAACTCTCATGCGAAGTCAAATTTGGAACCTTGAAAGCTTAACACTTGTTAGCACGGCCAGAGACTTGAAGGTCGAGTCTAGCATCGTATCATCGGAACGTGACACTAACTGCTACGCAAGTATAAGAAATAAAATTGTGTTTTCACTACCAGCTATAACTTTAGACATAGTGGTAAAGCGTTTGATCTGAAAATGAGTATCAGAATTAGGGCTGTTAACGAACCGAACATAAACGAACAGAGGTTGTTCGTGTTCGTTTGTTAAGGAATTTGGAGTGTTTCTGTTCGTGTTCGTTTGTTAAGGTTTTTGAAAATCTTGTTCGTGTTTGTTTGTTAAGCATTCGTTAGTGTTTGTTAACGTTCGCGAACACGTTCACGAACGTGTTCGTTAACGTTAACGAACATGTTCGCGAACGTGTTTGTTAATGTTTGTGAACACATTCGCAAATGTGTTCGTTAACGTTAACAAACATGTTCATTAACAAACACGTTCATGAACGTATTTATTTACGTTCATGAACACTTAATAAACAAACACATGCACATGTTCATGATCACAATTCGTTCGTGAACAATAAATAATCTACGTTCACGAACAATAATCAAACAAACAATACAACTACTGAACTACATAACTAATATAATATAATAGAGTTAATTATCAAAATGGTCCCTTGACTATAGCAAAATTACCAATTTGGTCCTTTACTATTTTTTTAAACCAATTAAGTCCCTCAACTTTAAAAACTTTAACCAATTTGGTCCTCCGTTTGTTTGACCGTTAGTCAACCGTTAACTTGGGATCAAATTGGTAATTTCGCTATAGTCAATGGACCATTTTGGTAATTAACTTTAGGGGTGGGAAACTCGATTTAGTTTTCTCGAATTGAACCGTACCGAACCGAACCGAATACCGTTTGATTTTTTTTTTAAAATATAATAATAATAATAATAATAATAATAATAATAATAATAATAATAATAATAATAATAATAATAATAATAAATAAATAAATAAATTTAAAGTAAATCCAAGTCCCTTGCTACTTGCTCTACCGTTCGGTTCGAGTTTTTAACGAACCGTTCGGTATACAAAAATCTATTACCGTTCGGTTGTTCGGTATATTACCGAATCTAACTAGTTTGGTACGATTCGGTTTGAAAAAACTTAACGGAATTGCCCACCCTTAAAGTTAATTACCAAAATGGTCCCTTGACTATAGCAAATTACCAATTTGGTCCCAAGTTAACGGTTGACTAACGGTCAAACAAACGGAGGACCAAATTGGTTAAGATTTTTAAAGTTGAGGGACTTAATTGGTCAAAAAAATAGTCAAGGACCAAATTGGTAATTTCGCTATAGTCAAGGGACCATTTCGGTAATTAATTCTAATATAATATAATATAATATAATATATATGTTTGTGAACATGTTCGCAAACATTATTAAACGAACACAGACGAGTTTGTTCACGAACATTATTAAACGAACATAAACAAGCTTGTTCACGAACATTAGTAAACGAACACAAACGAGCTTGTTCGCGATCTCTTAGCAAACGAGCTTACAACTGTTCAAGCTCTGTTTCTTTATTAACCGAGCTCTAAATTTTGTTTGTTAATGTTCGTTTACCTTAACAAACGAACATAAACGAACGCTTACCGAACACGAACACGAGTAATTTGCCGAAAGCTCTGTTCACTAACACCCCTAATCAGAATAGGTCACGAGTGCATATATACTATGTAGTTAAGGCTGATAGGTCCTTGAAAGTATGAGGAAATAAATTAAAGTAGTGCTTGATCCTGATTCAGTGTTGGGATAGTACCGTGTATCGAACAATATAATTTTACCACGAGTTAATAAAAATTCATCTAATATAAATACACCAAAAAAATCTAATAGAATAATGACACCCTATATAATAAATATTAAGGGGTGATTTTTATGAAGAAATGTAACATTATTATTCTAAAGAATTGAAGAGTAAGAGAAATAAACCCTAGAAACACTCTCCCGAAAGGAAATTGTCCCCCATTGCACTTGCTGTATTTAAATAAAATAGAACGAATGAACAATTTGACTTGGTGGTCCAAAATCTTAAAATTACCCTAGAAACACTCTACATCTTTGCCCAAAATTTTCAACTGGTTTACATGCACATCCATTGTCTTTTCAAAATGCCTTCTTCATAATCTTAAAAAAATTCAAGCCTACAATAATTAATATATGGTGGAAGAAAGCTACAATCCAGTTAAAATGAACATACATATATATAGTTAAAAAGAAGACATCATCGTACTTTATAATATATTATATATCTTTAATTTCATCCCAGAAAACTAGCTGACACATTTATTTGATCATTAATTTCATTCTTCTTCCAAAAGACTGAACCCCAACTCTGATCATTAATTTCATGCATACATTGCATGCCGGCCATACAGCTAGCTATCAGCCTATCACTATCATTTCAAACATTACATCGATCGCCCCCACATGGACTGGAATTTAGAACTCAAATTCTAGAAGGATTATCTAGCTAGTCTTCTTTTCCTCAAAATAAAAATAAAAAATCTAGCTAGTCTTCTATCAAGAAAGTAGAAATAGTCAAGGACAATTAAGCCGGCCAGCCAAGTTAATTACTTATTACAATATTACAAGTAGTTCAATCAACTCTTAGTGAGAGTTGGTCAATTATGAATTAAATAACTTAGGCTAGTTTGTCATTTGCTGGTTAAGGTCATAACGTGGGGTTATAGAATTTTCACGTAACTCAAAAAAAAAAAAAAAGTTAGGCTATATATACATGCAACCTAATTGGTTTTTCTCATACCATAAACCTAATAGAATTCATTCACTTCTTTCAATTCAGCCATGATGAAGCACCAATGCACCATAATGAGCTCTTTTGTTTTAGCCTTTCTAGTTTTCTCTTCCCATCATTCAGAAGCAAAGTCTGAGTTGGAAAGGGGCGATTCTTTATCCGTTGAGGGTGGTGAATCAGATTTTCTAACCTCCCCAGACAAAACATTCACCTGCGGTTTCTTAGGATTGGGCAGCACCAATGCCTACTGGTTTGCAATTTGGTACACCAATTCCAGGGACAAAACCGTTACCTGGGTGGCCAACAGAGACAAACCTGTCAACAGCCAAGGTTCAAGGTTGTCGCTCAGAAAAGATGGAACCATGACAGTTTCTGACGTGGATGGCACCGTCGTGTGGGTGACTGACACCATATCAGATGACGTCCATAGAGCTGAGCTTCTTGATACTGGAAACCTTGTCCTCCGGGATCCGAACGGCGAAATTCTCTGGGAAAGTTTCAGTTTTCCCACTCATACTTTACTCCCTCATCAAGAGATCAGAAAGAACTATAGATTCACCTCTCATTTAAGAAATGGGAGCTTTGAACCAGGGTACTATTAAGGATTAATTGTATTATTCCTTTTATATTTGCTGTATTATTTAGTTTTCAGGTTGTTACAGTAGCTCCCCTTTAGAATTAGTTCATTTTAACTTGGTTCCACCTTTTTCTAACTTCAGGACTATAAATAGCCAGTACTTCTGATGACATATATGATTTTCTCACCTTTACAGGTACTACAGTTTCTACTTTGACAGTGACAATGTTCTGAAATTGATCTATGATGGGCCTCAGGTTTCAAGTATTTATTGGCCTAATCCAAGAATTGACATATACGCAAGTGGGAGAACCAGCCAAAACAGTTCCAGAATTGCTTCCTTTGATGACATGGGAACGTTTTCATCGAGCGACTTTCTGCACTTCAATAGTACTGACATGGGAGCTGGGATCAAGAGAAGGATGACAATGGACAATGATGGGAACCTCAGAATGTACAGCTTGGACGATTCGACGGGGACATGGGAGATAACATGGCAGGCATTTCAACAAACATGTGATATACATGGGACATGTGGAAGATTTGGTATTTGCGAATATTCACCGGCTTCACAACCCAGGTGTTCATGTCCCCCAGGGTTTGTGGTAGCTAATTCAAGTGACTGGAGGGGAGGCTGTAGGGCTTTGTTCAATGAAACAGCTTTAATGGCTCAGCCAATCAAGTATTTGGAGATTTCTCACACTGATTACTACGGGTTTGATCTTAACAACAGCCAAATGTCTCTGGAAGACTGCAAGGCTTTGTGTAGAGAAGATGATCGTTGTCGAGCATTTACCTACAGGAAAATTGGGGAAGCAAAATGTTACACCAAAAGTGTGCTTTACAATGGGTACAGATCTCCAGATTTTCAAGGGAGTACATATCTAAAACTCCCCAGGAATTTGACACCACCAGAATCAAATTCTGCAATTCTCAAACCTTCTGATGTAGTATGTCCCTCGATCGTAGAAGAACTTCTTGTTCGTTCTCATTACGAAACGAAAACTAGGAAGGTGAGATGGGTTTATCTCTACTCGTTTTGTTCAGCCCTGGGTGGGATTGAAGTTCTTGTGATTCTGTTGGGATGGTGGGCTTTATTCAGCAAGCATGGGATCCCAGCTTCACTGGAGAATGGATATTCCATGTTATCCAGTCAGTTCAGGAGGTTCACTTATGCAGAACTCAAGAAGGCAACCAAGAATTTCCAGGAAGAACTAGGGAGAGGCGGCTCGGGGGCTGTTTACAAAGGCGTTTTGGGAGATGAAAGGGTGGTGGCAGTGAAGAGACTTGGGGATGAGTTTGAAGGAGAAGAACAATTCTGGGCAGAGATGACCACAATCGGTAAAATCAACCACAGGAATTTAGTGAGAATGTGGGGTTTTTGTGCAGAAAGGAAACACCGCCTTTTGGTCTACGAATTTGTACAAAATTCGTCACTGGACAAGCACATTTATACCTCAAATTTTCTTGGTTGGGAAGAAAGGTTTGAGGTCGCATTAGGCACGGCCAAAGGGCTGGCATATCTTCACCATGAATGCCTGGAATGGGTGATCCATTGTGACGTGAAACCAGAAAATATACTTCTCACCATCGACTTCGAACCCAAGATTGCAGATTTCGGCCTGGCCAAGCTATCTCAAAGAGGCGACCCTGGATCATATTTCACCAGAATTCGAGGGACAAAAGGTTACATGGCTCCCGAGTGGGCTCTAAACCAGCCTATCACTGCAAAAGTAGATGTCTACGGTTACGGCGTGGTGATCCTGGAAATGGTGAACGGGAACAGGATCTCCAGATGGGTTGCGGAAGAGGGTGACGATGATCCCCAGGAAACAAACATGAAAAAGTTTGTCATGGCAGTGAAAGGGAAAATAGAATCTGGAGAAGAGACATCATGGGTGGATGATATAGTGGATAAAAGACTGGAAGGGAAGTTCAGCAGGTGGCAGGCTAAGACACTGATCCAGGTGGGTCTTTCATGCGTGGAGGAAAACAAGAACTTGAGGCCTACAATGGCTTCGGTGGTACAAACGCTGCTGGAATGTGTAAACGAAACGGCGGCATTACAAATTTCAGACGTAGTCCCATGCAGCATTTGAGAAGTGTTTCTTTCTGTGTTGGCAATATTTGTCATTTGTGTTTCCATGCTGATGCTTTTTAGCCCTTTAGGAAGAATATGTAGTTGTTATACATTGTACCATAGACTTTTTTTGGATCATTGTATAGGTATATTGTCATATAAAACTGTAGCAGAATAATATAATATTGTGTGCAATGTGCTGTCTGCTGTGTCATTGAGTCACCCCTGGTTTAATTTCTATCCTCTCAAATGTTTCGTCGAGTCGGGGTGTGGGGCTCTTGGGGTTGGGGATTCAACCTTTTTATGGGAGAAGAAGAAAATGGTGTTTTTTTTGTTGTTGTTTGGTTCTTAAAATTCATTTTTTATTGAAAAATGAATTCCTCACATTTGAATGCTATGGTTTTTTTTTTAGTACTACTATTCCATGACAATGCATTATCGGTTCATAACTACTTTCTCAACTCGGTGAAGCACAAAGAATCAATACCTTCTCCACTGAATGCTATGGTGGTTAGTTTAGATATTTCTCGTTTACTCGATTGTAGAATTTAATTAATTTTCATCTAAATTTTACAGGTGATAAATACAATATTTGAAAAATTAAATTAAATATTAAAGACTAGAAAAAGAAACTCCTTGTTAAAAAAGTAAATGTGACTTTCCCCAGCCCTAAATAAAATTTAAATTAATCCCAAAATCTTTTTTTTTTTTTTTTTTTTGGTTTTGTTAAAGCAATAGTGAAGTTAATTTCAATTTCTTAACTCATGGGTTGTAAATGAGATGATGTAAAGTTCTTTCCTCTTAACTACATATCTCAGGATTAATTCGAATTATCTCAGAATTATTTCGAATTTCATAATGTATAAAGTATGAATAAGATGACGTGAATCTCTTTCTTGACTAAATCTCTCTCCTATAAAAAAATTAATGTGACGAACACTTTACCCTTTAATTGAGTCGGCCTGATACAAACAAGAATTAGTTTAAGTATTGTACGAAGAACGAACTTTAAGGCGTATTTTATAATTAGAACCTACACAAAATACCTTGTGCTCTAATTAAATTAAAAAAAAAAAAAAAATCTCAGATTTGAGCACTAAAATGCATCTACTGAGACCCTACCTGACAGCTTACAGCTGAGGAAACCTGTGGTATTAAAAGTATTCTCGTACGTCTCAAAATAAATTATGACCCAAAAAAAAAAAAAAAAGTAGGAACCTATTTCAGCCTTTGGCCCAAAAACAGTGGATTGGGTCCACCGGTATATCCAACCCCATAATTGTTGCCCACTTCTTTTGGGCGACCCTAGAGTCATTGTACCTTTGGTGAATCCAATAAATGTGTTCACTGATAGGCCTAGTGGCCAACTTTTCTTTTCTCCAATTATTATTGTATGAATAATAAATAAAAAGTATATTTTTTATATTTTTACATTTTTTTAAAAAGGCTCTTCTTCCTGGTCGGCCATCGCTCGGGCAATAACATCTATTTGCACAGGAGTGAGCGGTACTATAGGCAATGGCGGTGGTCGAGGCACCGAGTCCTCTTCCTGTCCCCGTGAGTTCTGCTGACTCCCTTGTTCCCACGGATCCAAACCTGCGTTTCGTGCGCTACGACTTCCCGTGGCATGGCTCTGTTCTCCCACTATAGTTTCGATCTCTTGTTCCTGTCGACTTCGCTCTTCGGATGCTTTCTGAATTCGCTTAGATCAAAGAGGTAAACGCGACCTTTTGTCACGTCCCCACAGACGGCGCTAGTGTTGGTTTTAGGATTTTTGGGCCCAAGGAGGTCCAACATAACCGTGGTTAGTAGTTTCACCTTTCAAACAAACTATGAGACTTACAAGGAGAATAGCTATGACTTTCCGTATATTTCTTGTGTAATCTTTGAACAATTCGACTTGGCCCCCTTTTACATTCTCAAAGGATCCCTTTTATAATGGGTCACCCTTACTAATTCTAAATGCGTGCATTAAAGTGCCATAATGTGGCCTTATTAAACTTAGGAGCCGTTGGACTGCCGTTACTAGGCCTCCCAACAGCCTATTTGACCGAGCCTTGAAGAGGCTCTTAAATGCCAACTAACGGCTACCTTGCTGAGCCGACCCCTTGCTCACGCCGATCTCCTGGGCTCGTTTATGGCTATCTCTGGGCTTTCTTTTCTCTTTGTTGGGGCCGGTCTTCCGTGGGCCCAATCTTCATCCCTTCCTTTCTTCTTTCTTCTTCGGGCCCTAGGCCCATTGGGTCCGTACCCCATTAGTCCACACAATAATTTGCCTCTTTTCTCCTTTTTTTTTTTCCGAAAACTTATAAAAATAGGTGTCTAATATTAATACTTTATATTAAAAACTTTAGATTTATTTAAATTTTAGATTTTTATATTATTGAAAATAATAATAATGTAAAATATTTTTATAAATTTGATATTTCTATTTAATGAAATAACTAATTTATAACTCTGATATATAATGACTATATTATTATTATTATTATTATTATTATTATTATTATTATTATTATTATTATTATTATTATTATTATTATTATTATTGAAGAACATAAGAAAATATATGATAGATGCATAACAATAGTAGAAAAAGATAACGAAACTTATAGTCTTATAACAGCAGGGGTATGTTTGTCCAAAAAATTTGTATAATACAACTCTTATTGCATAAAGTTTATTTAAAAAAAAAACGTAACAGAAAAACGGACATAAATGAAATGTATAACCTCCATTCACACTATCTCTCTATATATATTAAAGCAAAATGCTCAAATTGCTACTTAAATCTCTATCTCTCTATATATATTAAAGCAAAATGATTAGGGAAAAATTTTTCCCTCCAAAGTGTTAAAGCATTTATTGTATTCACATTAGTTTATAAATTCATGTAATTTTAATTACAAATCAACATCAACATCAACATACCAAGGACATTGTGGTTCGCTGGTATTTGGTTGCTCCCTTATGTGGGAGGTTTAAGGTTTGAGCTTTGTTGTAGGCGTAGATTGAATATGCGAATATATTCTCCTTCCATTGTAATTAAAAAAAAAAAAAAACTATCATTACTTTATAAACTCCAAAATGCTAATTCAAAAAGCTTTTCAAAATGTCACATCACTAAATCTGTAATTATTCACTATTTACTCTAAATCCATTCAATTTTTTCTCTTCTTATAATAATAAAAGAAAAAGACATTGTTTTCATATTATACAAAACTAGTATTTTCACCCGTGCGATGCACGAAATGGAATTGTTGTAATATATTAAGAATATTTAAATCGATATATAATTATTTAAGAGTTAATTTCACCCGAGGTCGCTTATCTTTCCTGACAATTCCAAATTTAATCCTAGGCTATTAATTATTAATTATTACAATTTATTCTATGTTATAATTATTACGTTAATATTCTTACTATTATTATTAACACTTAATTACTTTTAGACATTATTTTTACCACTTATTATTATTATTATTATTATTATTAGTTTATTTTCAAATTCTGTTAGTATATAATGGCCGTGAGTCACAATAATAATATAACAATAATTGATTTCTATTTTTCAATTCGTACAATAATTCTGGGTTAAAATTTTATAGGAATTGTATAAATTACAATAGGAATTGTATTACACTATTTTATAATATTAGAATAGAATTTTAACCCAGAATTATTGTACGAATGGGAAAGTAGAAATCAATATATTTTATTAGGTAGAGATATTTTTTAAGAATTATTAAAATTTCAGGATTTTGTTTTAATATATAGTATAGAGTATAGATTACAATAGGAATCAATAAAAGAAAAAGACATTGTTTTCATATTATACAAAATTAAAATGAAATTGAAGCAAGAATGATAAAGAGAGATGAGATGAAAAGACTAGATAGCATGCACAAAATTTCATTATTTGCATGATCCCATTCCCTACATGCTACAACAAGAGCAACCTTACCAATTCCGAAGTCCAAACATACACTTAAAAAGGTTTTAAGAGTTCATAATTTCAACCCACTCTTTTGGACACTTTGCCTAGGATTACATACCTTGTCTGGGCAAAAAATTGAGCAGCTATATATTCATTGCTGCAAAGATACATCATTGAATAAAAGCAAGCAATCATTTTGGGTGGACATATTTATGGCTGTTATTCATCACAGCAGAACTAACATCCCTTTTTTTTTTTTTTTTTTTTTTTTTATCAGAAAGCTGCAATCTCAGAAAGGCCAGTCAGTTTTGGATAATATGCTTGATCATCATCATAAAATATGAAATTGAAGCCTAATCTAGTTTCTATAGCAAATTCATGGCTGACCCATGGCGGGCGGCAAGCAAAACATTATGGTTATCCTCCGATGATGTCTCTTCCGAATTGCGTGTTTTGCGCTTCGAACCCAGACAGTACAAATCCTTCGCTGCTTGCATCCAGCCCGAAGCGCTGGGCGGCGTTCACCGGGAAGGAATCCGACAAACCAAGCTCGTTGTTTTGGTGAAGGCCCAGGGTTAAGGAGACGCTGCTGCTTCCGCCGGCGGCGGCGCCGATTCCCAGGCGAGAGTGGTGCGACAAATTGCCGTACGATAGATCCATCGCCGCCTCATCGCCCCCCATGAAATTCTCAGCCTCGTTCCGTGTTCGCTTTGTCGGAAGTTCTTGAATTTGGTGCATGGACGCCGATGCATCTTCACAGGCCACAGAATTCCTCATGCTTAAATGCTCGCTTGGATTGTTTTGATTCTGTTCTTTGGTTTGTGAATTCTTTTGCGCTTGCCGCGTTTCCAGATTGTGAATCTCTTCCACCATTGGCTTCCATAGTCTAACCCTTGCATTGATGAACCAGTTAGACACCTGTTTCATCATCAACAACAAAGAATCCTTCAATTCCCAACAAAGTTTAGAAGCATTAATTTGAAAAAGAATTGAATGCTTACCTGATTTCTCGAGAGACCTGTCTGTTTAGCCAACATTATCTTGTCTGTGTCTGTGGGATAACTGCAAAGGTGACAATATCAATTGTATTAAGTAAAGATATGAACTTTATGTCTTCAAAACAAAATCCCAGAACAGGCTACCAGATTTGATGAAGTAACATATAACTTACGGGTGGAGAAAGTGATCAAACAACCATGCCCTGAGCACGGTGACTGCACGTTCTGGTAACCCCCGTTGGGGACGCCAGACAGGCTGATGTTCCATTAACCCAGCGTTACGAATAGCTGTGCTTTGGAAATAAAGTCCTTTCCCCAGATTTTCAGAGCTGGGAGAGGCTTCTCCCTCGTAATTCATATGGCCTTGCGATTTGCCTATAAACTGCAGCTGCTCAGTTATGGCGTCTTTCAAGCATCTGAAATGCTTCGACATGGCTTTCAGTGCTAAGTTTGCAAAGGGTGCTGCATTGTTTAGTCCAGCAACGGATTCAAAAGACGCAACAACTGCTTGCAGCTGTTGGTAGTACTGCTTATACCTCCTGTAAACCTATTGTAGATGAAAGGTGTTCAATAATCAAACACAAAAAGATTCAAACTTTATTACCTAACTTTATGAATAATGCATTTATGTAAACACCCAGAACCTGAAACTTTATTGTTAAGCTACAACCAAACCTTATTAACAGCCAGCATTCCAAAGATCCTATAAGAAATCTACAACCTAAAGGGTGCTTATTTATATGGAACATAAGCAGCATTTTCTTGGTGGTTTCAATCCCATACCCCTCACGAAATCAGCAAGAGTTCAAGATTTTGTCAAATTTCATCAGCAATGGCATATTAATCAGTATAACTTGGTGAAACAAGAGATCAAGTTCCTGATTACAAATACTCCAGATTATTATGTTTGCCCGAGGAAATAAAAATGCTCTGGAAAAGAAAAAAAGAATGCCCAGAGACCAAAGTGAACAATATAAAATGGAGGGCATAAACAAAGTTTGAGAATAATCTTCTCCCAGAGCATAAATAAATCTATGCAAAGATAATGGCAGTGAGCATTCCACAATGAGAAAAATATAGTGCAGAAAAGACAGTTGCAAGTACCTTTCTTCCTATAGCTGGGATAGTTGTGTGGAGAATAAACGTTTAGAAATTGATTCCTTCAATAACTTTTTGTACAAAATAAACACCAAACTTAGTGACATTATCACCTGTTACAACTCTTTCTTATATTGTCAGACACTTTATGGCACCGATCTTCGTGCATATATTCCCCCTAATCACCTTTTCCCAAAAGACGATTTAATGATCCAAAACAACTTCAGTACAGCCTAAAACATAAGCATCTATGGCTTGCATGGAATAAATATGGCTAAGAAAGCTAGCAGTTCAACTCAGGCTTATTAAGCTTCTTGATTTTACCCGGTCAACTATGGTAACCTAAGCCGGTTTACTTCTTTGGTACTTTGTCGGCTAGGGTTGCAAGGCAAAGATTACACGGGTTTCACTTGTCACTCAAAAATTAAATAAAATAAAATAAAATAAAGCTAGCACTTGATCATATTCTCCTATGACTCTAAGTCATGCAACACCACAAATTGGATATTGCATGTTGGTAAAGGCAATGAATTGATGCATTACTTTAAAGAATCACAGCATCCACAATAATGAAAAAAGTTGGAATTCATATAGAAAACTAGATAAGTATAGCCATATGAATCAAATGAAAAATCACATCAATGGGAAGAATTGAAGATACTTAACACAAAACTGCAACTATTTGGTTAAAGGGCACAGAAATAGCAAGCTGAAGTTTGACATTGAACAGTAGCTATATAAATTATTGGAGGCAGAAAACCACAGTAGATGCATAAAGTTGAAGCTTAAAGAAAACGACAACCGGAAGTGAATAATAATAATACTCCATAGATGAAGATGAAATACTACCTCATCTAGCATTGAAATTAACCTGGATTTCTTCCTCCTGTGCTCACCTCCATCATTAGAATTTGGAGAATCATCAACCAGAGTTTCCATGGAAGGGTCCATCAAAGCTGAATCAGCTTCCAGCTTCTCAGCATAAACACCCCTAACCACATCACAAACCTCCTCCAACAACTGCTGAGCAGGCTTCAAGAATCTAGAACCCTTCAAGATTGAGGCGTAGCCTGTGAAGGGCCCAGGCACCCCAGAACAGGTCCGTGACAGCTGGTCAGCATCATGATTATTGTAAGTGGAGCAGTTACTGCCCACGCCATCACCATGAATGCTAGAAACCAGAAGCCCAGAGGTCATTGAGGCGTCATATCTTTGCAGATTGAGCTCCAGAGGAAGACTGGCGCTTTGGTGTTGGTGAGTGTGATGTGAGGACAAAGTCAAAGATAAACCTTGACCTCTTATAGTAGGAGTGGTAGCCTCGTGAGCACCTGGCGTCACTGACAAAGGCTCCGGTTTGTACACCACGGTAACCTCCCCACCATGGAAAGAATTATTATCATGAAACCTAAGGTTGTGCGGAGGGGCGGCGTAGAGAAACGGGTTTCTGGTGATTTCTTGATTTAAGTGGAGAGGAACAGAAGATTGCGGATCCATATACATAGTGGGCGGGGAGAAATTAGTGGCGCCACTCATCAAGCTCGCACCTTTACCAGTGTGGTGGTGCTTATTGTGATCAGAGAGAAGTGGGTGGTGGCCATGGAGTGTGGCGCAGGTTAGCAAATCTGAAGGGATGACAGGTGGATCATAAAGAGGGGCCAAACCTGCGCAGCCATGGAGATTATCCACGCACTCTGGGTGGCTCTGAACCAGGACTCTCAGCTTATCTCTTCGGCTTTGTTGTGGGACATGATATGGCTCAAATCCCTCAGCCATCACTCACTCTCTATAACCTCTCCCTTCAACTAAAAAGATAGTAAAAAAGAAAGGAACAGTCTTTCTAATCGTCACTGTAGAGAGATCATGTGGTTAGAGAGAGACGAAAACAGTGATGTTTCTGGCGCAGATGGGAGGAATCCGACACAATCACCTCCGACGTAGAGAGATATAGAGAGAAATTAAAGAAAGCAAGAAATAGAGAGAGAAAGAGAACACATATAGAAATAGAGAGAGAAATGAGATTTTCTTTGGTGGTTGTATTTCTTACAGCTCTGATGACTGATGCCAAGCAGTGGCCGGTGAATGGGCGGGATGAAAGCAAAGCATGGGGATGCGAGGGGAACAAGAAGACCGGCTAGCTCCGGTAATAATTGACCCTGTTTCCTATCCTAAATTTAACAATACAATTATATAATTATCTTTTTTTTTTTTTTTTTTTTTTTTTTTGTGTTTGTCGTTTACCTTTACTTCCCCTTTAGTTTTTCAAGTTTCAACATACACATTTCAAAGATCCAATGCCCAACTTACCCTCACATTTTATGTATTATCATATTATATCATGTCCATTCACATATTTTATAATTTATCAAATATCAGTATGCATGGTCATGGTTTGGGTATACTTTGATATTTTCTTACCAAAAAATAAAATAAAATAATTACACGAAACTAAACCACAAACTAACCATCAATTGCATGGCCCAAATTGTTAAAAGTATAATACTTAGAATTTTTTAATTTATAGGAAAATCAATATACAGTTCCCTCAAATAATCAAATTTGAAATCTAGTGGTTATTAAGGTAATTGTTCGACTGTGGGAATAACTTAGTTGGTTCAATCGATCACTTAAAAGTTGTACTATACTGGAAGAATTTAACTGACAAATAAATTTAGAGACTGGACTAAGTAACTCACGATTTATGTTTTTCGACGAGTCTTGGTGGGGAGTTATGAAAGTGAATGTTGTAACTTGTAAGGAAAAGGGTGAGGAGCACTAAATAGGGCAGTGGATGTCGTTGGTCAAAGCAGTACTCTGGCGAGGGAGGCCCAGAAGCTAGCAGAAGGGCAGAATTGAAGCAATGGAGAAAAAAGAAAATACTAGATGAATTCTCATTTTATACTCTCAATTTTTACTTCTACACATAGAATCTTGATATAGATATTTGTATTGAAATCTACATGAAAAAAAGTATTTCATCAGTGCTCGTCACATCAGAAAGAAAAATTTAAGAGTCTATATAGTAGAACTCAAAATGTTGGAACTGAGAGTACGCCAACGCCATATCTCTGGCGAAGATGAATGGATGGATGGATGGAAAACACATCATATGATGAGACACGTTGAACTAATAATCAGATGTGGCCGGAAGAGAATTCATTGTAGTGATCAATTGAGTCAAGGTCATTGGTCATCATCACAAACATTTTTTTATTTTTTACTCCGTACGTAACAACCTCAGTATTTAAACCACGCAAAAAGGTAAAAGAATGATTATATATCTCGCCACGTTCCAACTACTTGAGAGCAACAACTAAGAGCCAAGCCTGTTTTGGAAGGTTGACGAGATTAATTAATTATACTAATCACTCTTAGCTTCATTAATTACACTACTTAAGTTTTACCTTGTCTTCTTCTCAACACCATTACATATGCTTTCAACCAGTATAGGTAGAGCTAGGTAGCTTACACCCAATCTTGTGGAGATAATTTTCATTCTTTTCATAATTGCTCCTACTTGCTAATTCCTATCCTATTCATTATGCTCCGTCCAATACAAAACTAACCTCGTACTTGCTTCAATTATTTTTCAATTTTTAATCATTATTTATATATATCAACTTCAATTTACATTTTATTGTTTAATTTTTAGACAAGAAACGAAACTCGCGACTACTACATGATGATGTGTACGGAATAAAAAAAAAATGTAAACCAATAAGTCGCTCTCATTGAAAAGCGAATTTATAACCTTGCAATCTAACCAACTTTATTGAAGTTATATATCTTTTTTTTTTCAATAATTAATAAGATGGAGAAAGTGTACTTTTAAAGTTTTAATACTTTCAATTATAATTATAGTATACATTTAGTTATCCAATTATTTGTACTGTGGTGTCGATTTAGTTCACTAGCTCGTTGCGAGATATTGAATTTGAGTTTTGAATTTAGAGTATTGTTAAAAATCTGTCACCCCACTAAAAACATGTAGATTATCTTTTTTAGTTGAGAAATAATGATTTATTGTGATTTAATTTTTTTTATACTTAAGTCTTCGCCCTCATGTTCTCGACTCTAGATATATCAAAATTCTAAAACTTCTAAATACTTTTTAATAGTCAAGCATCTTGTGCTTAGATGACATGTAGTGACATCTCCCATATGGGAGGTCATGAGATCGAACATGAGAGTGATACTACAATGTAATAGAGTCAGTAGCATTCAAAAAAATACTTTTTAATAGATATTTGTTAAAAAAAAAAATCTAATATGTTATAAATTAATTTAGGAAAACAATATTTAAATTTATGCGGAAACCAAACATAAACTCGAAACAACCCATTAAAGTTGGAAAAAAAAAAAGATGAAATGCTAATTCGACCACCTGGTAATGATGAGATGATTTATATACACTGAAATAGTATAGATTTGGTACGCAGTGATTATGCACGTGAGAATAGTGTGCACATTACTAAGATATAAAATATAAAATATAAAAGAGAATTTGGCTTTTCCCAAACTCCAACACTCACATCCTCATCCGCATCCGCCAAATTTGGTTTGGACGTCCAGCAACCTCCGTTCATCCGAGGTTTAATATTAATTAATTTGACAAACTTAATGATTGAAATTACAGTTGAAAGATTTGATGACATGAACTTTATTCTACGGAGTATTATAATGGCTGGATTCAAAAATATAAATAAATATTTTGTTCAAGCTCGAATAAATTCCAATATTGAATGTTGAAATTAGTGTCTTTGCCCCCACTATCTACTTTTATTTTGCTTTCTTTATAATGGACTTTTATTTTATTATTTCGATGCATTTTTTTTGTTTCACATTTTGTTATTTGCATGAGAAAAGTAGGAAAACACAAATGTCCCACGTTGGCACAACTTTCCATTTAAATATATATTTTACGCTAATCATTTCTAACGGTCCAAAAAATATTAGTTTACAAATTTCGAGTCAAAGGCTAAGCTGGGGGAATGAACTTTGGATGAATTATAAGCCGGAAAATACTATGTGTCATTTTATTCTATATTTATAATTTTTACTCTTGTATACAAAATCTTAATGTAAACATTTATATTGGGATTCACATAAATAATAGCTTATCAGTTGTTGACCAATCCAAATGAATGGAGACTAATATGCACTTTTTACTTAAAACATCGTTCTCATATAGCACCTACAACTTTACCATTCATTGCATTAAGAGAATAACAGTTAACTGACTAGTTGCCACGTGGTTAACCAACTTGTATTTTGAAAGTAGATAATTTTTTAAACAACTATCAGTTTAGACTTCTTTCTCTATAAAAGGTCTCAATTTCTATTTTCGAGATGTTACTTTATCAAGCTCTCTTTGTAACCAAATAAATAAATAAACCCTTAATTCATAAGTTTATGATTTAGGTAAAAATACTACATGTATAGTCATTATCTACTCCCAATTTTTACTCCCACACTTAAAATATTGATGTAGACATTTTTACAAGGATCCACATAAAGAAATTAAAATAACATATCAAAGTCTGTTACATCAAGAAATAAATTTGAGGGAGTAAGATTTAGAATTACATGTTGTAGAAGTCTATAGGTATATATGTACAACTTTGGAAGTTTGTATTATTCATGAAACCCATAGTATTTCACAAAGTTATGCTCAACTTTATGGAGTGAGCAGTGATATTGACTGAATAGGAAAAGTTTAGCTTTATGTATGTAATATTGATGTTTGGCCAAAGTGGGCACTTTTAAAGTGGTCTTTGCATTGTAGGCATGTGTTTCACTAGGTGAGTTAGGCAATTGAACTCTTGAACCCTAAAATTACTCTTTTATCATACTGCTCTCAAATGGGCATTTGAATCATGTAGAACTTTGGAAGTTTCATCAGAAAGATGAGCATGTATGTATCATCATAAACAGTGAACCCTTAGAGTTAGCTTTTAGATTGCATCCTCCTAAACATTTTTGCTTCCTATGTGTTGCGATCCTTTTTTTTTTTCCAAGTACAATGTTGCATTGTGTTTAAGGATATCAATTGGTCCAATACGGCTAATTATTTGAGCCAAACTGTATCAAGTTATTTTTTTGAATGCTACTGATTCTATTACAAAGTAGTATATGTTCATAACTACTTTCTCAACCTACTGAAACACAAAGAGCCAATAACACCACCATTAAGATTCGAACCGTATCAAGTTATTTAGTTTATCATTTTTGAGCTTATCAGGTTATTTCTTTTTGTCCTAATCCTAAACTGTTGGACGATTAGGCATAATGAATGAATTCAATTAAACTTTTTGACTTTAAAATTAACATTTTAATTTTTTTTAATATTAATAAGATGGCACATTCATACTACTAAATTTAAATGTTTACATCATTTAATTAATCCAAACTCTCGTTACCAAATTTCAACTAAAACTAATTAACATATTTGCACATATAGTATAATATCAGTATAATAATTTTTTTCATTTTTTATGTATTTGTAAATAAATTGAAGGCCCATAATACGTTAACTACAAACACATAATATGTTTACATGCACATAATATGCAAACTGCGGACACGTAATATGCAGTTAACATATTATGTGTATGTAGTTAACATATTATGTTTTTCAATTTATATACATGCACATAATTTATTAATTAAAGACACATAATTTTGGATCAAGTTCACAATCTAAGGTCAATCCAAAGTGAACCATAGTCCATGGTATAACAAATTGTCTAAATGGTGCATCCATATATAGAAAAAAATAGGCTAGTAGATGCAAATTATCGTGTGGACTGTCTGTGTACGCCACTTTTCAAAACGATGTCGTTTTGATGTTAAAAAAATTTCTTGCTTCGCGCGCTATTAGAATAATGAATATTCTGGGATAATAAAATGTATTTTATAAGTTAGAATAACGTATTTTGTGTAAAGTAATGTACTTTATATGATTTAAGAATAAAGAAATTTCTGGGGTAAGATAATGTATTTTATGAGTTAGAGTAATCTACTTTATGCATTAGAATAATGTATAATGTACTTTATGTGTTAAAATAATGAAAAATTTGTAGTAAAATAA